ACACTAAAGAATAATGTAGAATCTGCAAAACACCACATAATGTGGATGAACTTGGAGGACATTATGCTGAGTGAAATAAGTCAATCACAGAAAGAGGACTATTGTATTAGTTCACTACTGTAAAACATCAAGGAAAGGTCTATATGGAAGGAAACTTTCTTTGTTGGTTACCAGGGGTGGGAGGGGAGGGGAGAGAACACAGTTAGATAGGTAGATACAAGTATTAATTTGGGTGAAGGGAAGGACAATGTACCAAAAGTGAGTGATCAACATGATGGCATTGAGGAAGAGGAAAACAGAGAGGTACATGGGAGGTACAGACAATAAGAAGAACCCTTTTGCATTTACAGTACTGCATTGTCAGTGATGGCAAGCACTGATCTATGGGTGGATAGATGGGTAAACATGCTGAATGATCAGATACATCTAGGCAGGGGAAAGTGTGCCCATGATCATGTATAGGGTTGGCAGATGATGTTTCTACTTGTGTATTTGTATGTGCTGTAAAAATGTCTGGGTGTATAGTAGAGCTGACAAGGGACAGGGTTGTGATGGCTTCTTGATCACAGCCAGCTACCCCAAGGGAGCAAGTAGTTGCACCTGTGGGCTTGGAACCATGGTCTCGGGGGACATCTCAATTGGCATAACATACTACACAAAAGCATTGTCCTACATTCTACTTTGGTGAGTAGCAACTGGGGTCTTAAAAGCTTGCAAGCAGCCATCTAGATGCAATGATGGGTCTCTCCTCATCCAGAGCAAAGAAGAATGAAGAAAACCAAAGATGCACAGAAATAATTAGTCCAAGGGACTAGTAGACCATGCCATCCTCAGCCTATGTGACCCTATGATCAGAAGAACTAGATGGTGCCCAGTTACCACTGTCAACCCATTGGAGGGGGATCAGTGCAGGAGATCCTGGATAGAGTGGAAGAACAATGTGGAACAAAACTCAAAATCATAAAAAAAAAAAAAAAGACTAGGTTTACTGGTCTGATAGAGCCTGGTGACACCCCTGAGACTAAGGCCTCTGGTCACCTTCAAGTCTGGAACTGAATTCACTCTTATGGCTTCCAGCCAAATAACAGACAGGCATATAGGATGAACATTTACATCAGTTAGATACACTCCTTGGAGCGATCAATCATAGGAGAACAGAAGTGCAGTGTTTGCACAGAGAGACAGCTTGGAGCTGGAAGTGCATGGGAAGGAAGAACACAGAGAAGAGATAACAACAGGGAGGAAGTGGGAAGAGAGCTGTTGTTACATTGTGGGGAATTTCAGTCAATGTCATGAAACAATGTGTGTGAACTGTATGGAAAATGAATTTGCTCTGTAAACTTTCACCCAAATCACAATAAAAATGTAAAAAAAAAAAAAAAAGAGGCCATGGTCTTGCTTCATTGAGCTGGCTTAGAGTGACCCCAGAAGACAAGTTAGTTCTTACATGGACAGTGCTTTCTTTCTGTTCTCTTCTCCCCACTGTAAAAATTGATATGGCTCTCCAGCCAATCACAGTACCCTGACTCCATGGTTTGGTGTTGTTGTTATGTGCTGTCAAGTCGGACCCGACTCATAGCGACCCCTCCTTGGGTTTCCAAGGCAGTATCACTACGGAAGTAGATTGCCCCATCTTCCTTCTGAGGAGTGGCTGGTGGGTTTGAACTGCCAGCCTTCTGGTTAGCAGTCAAGTGCCTTAGGCACTACGCTACCAGAGCTCCCCCTCCATAGTTTAGAAACAGTTTATTTTAAACATGGGTAAATTCCATGACTAGGAGACAATGAAGAAGATGGGCACAGACAGCTACATGATCTGGGTCAACAAAAATATAATGTTATCATTATTATAATAGCTAATATGTTTGTTTACTATATGCCAGACACTGCTCAATGCTTTACAAAAATTGTTTCTCTTGATCCTTAAACTAATCTTTTGAGGTAGGTAACTATTAGTCTCGTTATAACATGTGAAGGAACTATGTCTCATTTTAAATAACTTGCTCATTAGGTAAAGCAGCTGATCAGCAGTGGGATGCTTACACAGGGTCTTGCTTTCAGAGTCGTCACTCTGAACTACTGAAGACTGTTTCCTAATCTTTAAAATCAGGCCATTATGTACTTCAGAGGATTGAGTTTTGGGTAGGGTTTGTAAAGGTCTGGCACACAGGCAGAACTTAATAAATAAATAATGATATCTGTTATTCATATAGAAAACCACATGCCATTTTTATTCAATAGTTTGCAAATGAAATCTTGGATAGTCACCTATGATTTTGGCAATATCTCAGGGTCCCCTGATCAAGCCTGCCAGCTTTCTGCAGCTTCAGATCTCCATAGGATTCTTCTTTTTCAAGTGGCCCCCCGTGACTAAACAACTGGATTTGGGATTGAGGGGGGCAAGGTCTTTAAGATTCTGTGCTTAAAGGCCAGTTTGCCACATTCATGCATGCCACACTCATTTTCCAAGTGCCTCTCTTGTGCTAGCTGCTGGGAATCAAATGAAGAAGACACAGTCCTGCCCTCTCAGAACCTGAGAGCATCCTTGGGGGAGGCGGGTGGCAAACAGAAAAAGGCACTCATGATACAGTGTGATCAGGGTTGACCACCACTTTGATTCCTCTGCACTGACCAGTGGGTTCAGGATCAATTAGAACACAGATGCTCCTGCAAAGTTCTGAGGCTGTGGGAGTCAGGCCCTCGATGTCAGGAGCCTAAGACTCAAGGAAGCTGGTACAGCATCCATCCCAGTTCAAATCATCCTGTGCAAAGCCATTCCTTGTCTGTATTCTGATTTCCATGACACCTTGTCCAAGGTCTTCTAAAGGTCTGTAACAGTTGGCTGGTGTCGGGATTCGCTGAGACGCATATGATAGGAAGTATGGTTCCTTTATCACCTAGATGGTTTTCTGCAACTGGTCAACTATTTCTTCATAATCATGCTCATATTCTGCAAAACAGTTCAAGTCAAGGAGGACCTGTGGCCTTAGGCAAGCCAAGCTCCTTTCCTCTTTAAGGCCCACTTTGTTATGTATACAAACAATGGGTTGGTCTAGATGCTATCTAAGTCACTTGCTAGCCAAAAAATCAGTTTGTCCTGTCTGAATACTGCAGCCATTTCACTGTGAATGAAATACTGGCAGTTCCTGACCCCACACAAGAGATTCTGATCCAGCACGTCTAGGTGGGGCCCAGGAATCTGATTTGATGAGTAGCACACGTGACTGTTTTGGAGGTATTCCAGATCCCTGCTTTCAGAACTACTATTCCATGCTGAGCACTTCTCTCCCTCACCTCCTGTCCCCAGATAGTTCTGTATGCTGTGGAAGAGGAATATGCTGGGAGCTGAACTCGCCTTCCTCACCAGGGCTATGCAGCCCCAGGGAGTGGGACATTCAGGAACCTTCAACCTCAGCCCACCCTAGATAGGCCTGTCTATCAAAGTGGGAACATGAGAGGGTATGCCTGTGGGTATGGGCAGCACCACCAGAGGTAAGGAAGCAGCAGAGGATTGGAAGCGGGGAGGGGAGGAACTGGGAGAAGGGTGAGCAGGGTTGTCAGGGACTCACCAGGATCCAACATGTTGATCTCAGTGGGCTTAACGCGTTTCTTGTGGGCAGAAACCTTGCTGTGTACATCTGAACTGCACTTGGAAAACTCTGGCAAGGTCTTCATCTTGGGTTTGGGCAACAGAGGAGGTCGTTCCAGTCGTAAGACTTGAGAAGACTTTAAGTGGGAGAAAAGGAACAGGCATCAACAGGGGCCCCAGAAACGGGACCAGAGTCCATGTCAGCTAATTCCCTTAAACTGTCACTTCCTCTGCCTCCCCTCTCTACTTTCTTTTCAGGGAAGAGTTTCTCAGGACCCTGGGTATTTTTACTCTAAGTGCATGAAATATTCTCTGGAGGGGAAGAAAAGGAACAGGGTGGAGATGAGAATAAGTCTAGGGACTAGAGACAGGGAGTCCCTGGGATTTGCCACATGTCAGTGTCCCTCCAATCTGTTCTGAAGGGAAAAAAGGCAAAGCAGAGACACCCCAGGGAACCAGGCACAGAGCCCCAGAATGGAGCACCAGACCCGAAATGGCCCAAGCAGGAAGAGGGCTTTTATTGAACTACTATGTGCCAGATCTATATGCTTATCTGTTCAATTAATCCTCAAGTGAGCCTCTGAGTAACTGTTCAATTCCCAGTTCACATATGACTAAAAGGGCTCAGAGAGTGTGCTTTTCCAGCTTCACATGGGATCGATCCATAGCTGGACCAGGGTCTGTACCCAGCACCATATCAGAGTCTCTACAGAGCGCTCTTTGTACCATGCTTTAGAGAGCGAACTGTACCACTCCCTCACTTAATAGCAGAGAGGACTGATTCCCAGAAGGGAAAGTTCCTGGTTCAAGGGCAACAAATAGGGAATGGGCCCAAAGTCACTTCTATCAGGAGCTAAAGCTGCAACTGGGGTCTTTCAATTCTTTGTTCCCTATTCTTCCCAGCACTGCTACAAGCTGTGTGTTTCAGCTGTCCCGGTCTATGTCCTGTCAGAAAACAACTGCCACCCTCCTGCAGATAGTAGCCTCTCGGGGGCTCAGAATGCTCTGGGTATTCATCTTTTTAGTTTTCACTATCATCCCATTACATATTTTTTTAAAAAGCCCACTGCCATTGAGTTGATTCCAACTCATACCGACCCTATAGGACAGGGTAGAACTACCTCTGAGGATTTCCAAGGCTGTAAATCTTCGTGGAAGTGGACTGCCATATCTTTCTCCCACGGAGTAGCTGGTGGGTTTGAACCACCAACCTTTTGGTTAACAGCTGAGCACTTAACCACTGAGCCATATCCACACAGAACTAAATAGGAGTTTCCAACATCCTCAGACCACACATTGTTAAAGTTTGCAAAGTGCTTTCCATATGGATTATCTCTCCTCAGCAAAGCCGAATAGGTGAGAGCTCAGGCTGTGCAGTCAGACCCAGTTTCAAACCCAGGGCCTGCCACTAGGTAACTGTGTGATCTCAGGCAAACTACCTCTGTGCCACGCTTCTTGTTGTTGTTGTTGTTATGTGTCATCGAGTCAGACCCAACTCATAGCGACCCCTCCTTGGGTTGCCGAAGCAGTATCACTATGGAAGTAGATTGCCCAACCTTCCTTCTGAGGAGTGGCTGGTGGGTTTGAACCACCAGCCTTCTGGTTAGCAGTCAAGTGCCTTAGGCACTATGCTACCAGGGCTCCCTGTGCCATGTTTACCCAACTGTAAAAGAGATAGTATCAGTGCCTATCAGGGATGTTGTGAGATCTAGGTAGGACAATTCTATAAGGTGCCTGTCCCAGAGTAAGCACCCAATAGCAGCTGTGACCTAGTTGGGTTTTTCCCCCCTTTTCATTGTGATTTGGGTGAAAGTTTACAGAGCAAATTCATTTTCCAGATAACAGTTCATACACATTTTGTTTCATGACATTAATTGCAGTCCCCTGAGTGTAACAGCTCTCTTCCCACTTCCTCCCTGTAGTTACCTCTTGTGTCCTTTCCTACACATTCCTGTCCTCTGAGCTGTCTCCCTGTACAAATACTGCCCTTGTGATCTCTTTTGACTGCTAACTAGAAGGCTGGTGGTTCAAATCCACCAGCCACTCCTCAGAAGGAAGATTGGGCAGACTACTTCCATAGTGATATTGCCTTGGAAACCCAAAGAGAAGTCACTATGAGTCGGATCCAACTCGACGGCAGTGAGTTTGTTTTTATTTTTTGATCTCCCGTGACTGTTCTAAGGAGTGTACCTACCTGATGTATGTGTTCACTTTATATGCCTGCCTATTATTTGGCTGGAAGCCACAGGAGTGAGTTCATTTCCAGGCTTGATGGGTGATTAGGGGCCATAGTCTCAGGGGTTTCATCAGTCTCTATCAGACCAGTAACCCTGGTCTTTCTTATGATTTTGAGTTTTGTTCCACTTTTTTTTTTGTTACTCTATCCAGGATCTCCTGCACTGATCCCTTTCCAAGTGGTTGACAGTGGTAGCTGGGCACCATCTAGTTCTTCTGGTCTCATGGTCATGTAGGCTGAGGTTCACATAGTCCACTAGTCCCTTGGACTAATTGTTTCCATGTGTCTTTGGTTTTCTTCATTCTTCTTTGCTCTGGATGAGGAGAGACCAATTGTTTCATCTAGATGGCCATTTGCAAGCTTTTAAGACCCTAGTCGCTACTCACCAAAGCAGGATGTAGAACAATGTTTTTGTGTAGTATGTTATGCCAATTGAGCTTGATGACCCCTGTGACCGTGGTCCCGAGCCCACAGGTCCAACAACTCACTCCATCAGGGTAGGTGACTGTGTCTAAGAAGTTATCACTTTGCCCTTTGTCAATTCTATTTATATGGACATTCTTACAGCACATACAAATATGTATGTAGAAACAAACCCACTGCCATTGAGTCAGTTGCAACTCATAGCAACCCCCATTGGGTTTCCAAGGCAGCAAATCTTTATGGAAGTAGATTGCCCCATCTTCCTTCCGTGGAGTGACTGGTGGGTTTGAGCCACCAACCTTCTGGTTAGCAGTCAGATGCCTTAGGCACTATACCACCAGAGCTCCTTGTATGTAGAAATATTATCTGCCAAACACATATGGTCATGGTATCTTCTCTTTTGCCTAGATATACATGATCATTCAGGCTGTCTACTTGTATATCTACCTGTAACTTAATGTTTGTTGTCACTGATAATGCAATATTGTGTATGTAAAAGTGTTTACTGTCTGTACCTCTTGTGCACCTCCCTGTGTCTTCTTTTCCCTTAGTAGTATTGTGTTGGTCACTCGCTTTTGGTATATTGCCTTTCCCTTCACCTAAATCAGTTTTTTGCTCTTACCTATCTAGCAGTTTTCCCTCCCCACCCTTCCGAGCTAGGTGGTTTTATCTCAGGTTTACTGGTAGCAAAAGGATGTTCAGAGAAGAAGTAACTTGCATAGGCTACAGAGTAAGTAAATTGGGACGTAAATTTGGTCTGACTTTTTCCTGTGACCCGTCATTCAGCAACTAAAAACTATGTGCTCCCCCCTCAATTGTTAGAGCAAGAGCATGTTTAAATAAGAGTGTAATAATTCTAATCACCGCCAGAAAGGGTTTGCCACATAGAATAGAAAGACAAGCTTTTGCCTAGAGCTCTACCTGTCTTAGCTAAGTCCTCTGTTGTCAGTAACAACAGCACAGTTCAGAGATGTTTTCTTGCCCAAACGCCAGTGCAGCGTTGGCCAGATGTGCCATGACATTCCCTTCTGCCTATCCCTGACATAAGCATTAAGTTCAGGAAAAGATTTTTTTAAAAAATTGTGTGCTCCCACAAGCTTTGTAAAACATGCAGTGTAAATACAGAAAAGGGGCGACTATTCCTGTGCTCATCTAGGCTGAGCCTTACCCATGAGCCTACAAAGAGGAAGAATATTCCAGCCAGAAGGAATGATATGTGCAAAGGGCTGAGGCAGGAATCCTGGCATACGGAGACTTCCTGAGCTGTTGGCTGGAGCCCGGAGTGCAGAGTGAGTGGTGGAAGAAGAGCCTGGACAGGCAGAAGTGTGGTTGGACTCTGGCTGCCATGTTAAGGGGGCTGGACCACCCCCTAGCAGTGGGGAGTCACTTCTGAAGGTTTCAGATAATAGGACCAAGGTCCATCCATGACCAGGAAAGGATCTGGGAAGGCTATTCTCACAGCTGTCGGGAGAGACTGAAGTTGCTGAAACAGTTTCAGTGAGAAGTGATGAGGTTTGAGTTAGAGTGACAGCAAGGGTAGCCAAAAGAGAAAAAGCACAATAAACGTGGAGTTGGAATGCTTATGCTCAAAGTCAGGCTCTGCCACTTCCTAGCTGTGGGAGCTTGTGTGAGTCATGGGGCTCTGAGCCCTCATTTACTCAAACATAAAAATATGGATAATCAAAACACCCTCAGGATCAAATGAGAATAATAGGTGCAAGTATGCCTGAAAAGCAGCAAAGTTCTACACAATTCTAAGAGAAATGCAATGCCAGTCAAAAAAGAAATGGTGGGACCTGCAATGATTCCAGTTCTTCCCCTCAGGTGAGTCCCTCCCTGCCCACCTTGGTTATTTTGATACCTTAATCCTTCCTTCCTTGCTGTTCTTTTTCTTCTTCCCACTGGGATCTTGAATTTTGGGGGGCCTGGGTGGCGGAGTTTGGCTCTCACAGGCTGGTAACTTCCGGAGGCGATAGTAGAAGGCTTCTGTCAGCTCCTCCACTGTTGCTAGAGGAGGAGGCACAGCTGGTTGCCTTGGCCGCCCCTGAGCCTCCACAACAGTCAGATCCAGCCATCGGGGAGGGATCTCAAAGCATATCTGAGGCTCGGAGTCCAGGCTGACCATCAAGAAGGGTTCCACAATTTTCTCCTCCAGCCGGAGGCCCAGGAAGGAAGTCAGAGGGTCTGTGGGGTGGCTGGTATCCTTAGCCACCACCTTGACCTCACAGGGCAGTGAGAACTGGGCAATCAGATCTGCCAGGCTGTAGCGCCGGCCATCATTCATCTCCTCCACAAAGCTGCCAGGGAAGTAGAGGGGCAGCAGAATCCTTTCTTGGTCCTCTGCCTCCTCATCACACTCTCCCTCTTCTTCCTCCCCAGCCTGGTCACTCAGCCGTTGACACACCAGGACACTTATGTCCCTGTTTTGGGCACCATAGGCCTGGCCAGACCCCAACACCTCGAGCCGATCGCCCACAGCCAAAGAGCTGAACTCAGGGTTGCCCTCCTCCTCACCCTCACAGTCCTTTGTGGCTACCACCCGAAGTGGGTGGCCTGGCTGAAGAGCACTTAGGAGATCATAGGCTGTGCAGAACTCTCTTGGTCGCCGCCGTAGCTTGCCCTGGTAAACCCCGGAGACCATGAAGTATCTGGGCACCTTCCGGCCCTTGCTTGAGGCCAGGATCCGCCAAGGTGGTGAGGCCTGGCCATAGATCCAGAGTCTCTGGCCTTTCTGCAAGGAGCCCACCCTTGGGCTGAGGAAGATGGGGGGCCCCTCTGGGACTTCCACGATCTCCACAGGCAGGGGGAAGGGGCCTTGATGGGCCAGGACCTCACTCAGCATCAGTGGTTTGATGAAGTGGATGTGCTGAGAGGAGGCAGTGACATCCTCCACGTCGACCTCCAGCGTGGAGGGGATCTTGACGATGGTTCTGCGCACTGTGGAGAAGGCAGGTCAGCTCAGAGGCACACCACACACTGCCCAAAGGTGGTTCCCTCTACCTGGCAAAGGACATAGGTCTGGGCTAGCTGACTTCTTTCCTGTTTTCATCTTTTCTTTCCTACTAGTTCCATTGTACCAGATTTCTCACCCACTCTTCATTTAACCTGAAAACTAAACATTTATAAAAGTAGAGAGAGTAGTATAGTGAACCCCCATGCACCCATCACCCAGCTTCAGCATGTAACTCAAGGCCCATCTTCTTTCATCTGTGCCTACCCATCTATACCTCCCCACTACTCGTTTATTGTGAATCAAAATAATCACATTATATGACAAGGATGACTAAAAAAACAGGAAAAAACACAATGCTGCTACCACATCTAAGTAATAGGAATTTGATAATTCTTTAATATCATCAAATAGCCAATCAGTTCATCTACCTTTAAAATTTTAATTTAATTTTGAATATAAGTTTTGTTGTGTGCTGTCAAGTCAATTCCAACTCATAGCAACTCATTAGAAGAGAATAGAACTGCCTCATAGGGCTTCCTAGGCTATACACAGCAAAACATATACCAATTCAACAGTTTCTACATGTACCATTTAATGACATTGATTAATTACATTCTTCGATTTGGGCACCATCTTCACCCTCTTTCTGAGTTGTTCTCCCCTCAGTAACATAAATTCACTGCCCCTAAGTTTCCTATATAATTTTCCAAGTTGCTGTTGTAAATTTGATCCCATAGAGATACTTAGTTCTTAAAAGAGCAAAATGATTATAGCAGACGTTTCTTTTTTTTACTAATTAAGCTAAACTGTTGTCTGATTTTAAGAAGACTTCAGGGATATTTTTGGTTTAAGGTTTAAAGATTATCTCAGGGCAATAGTTTCATGGGTTCATCCAACCTTCATACTCCAGGAAGGCTGTAGTCTATGAGAATTTAAAATTCTGTTCTGCATTTTTCCCCTTTAGATCAAAATGTTCAGTAATGATATTTAAACTATAATCTTTATGGGAGAAGATGATCAGGTCTTTTCTCCCAAGGAGTGGCGGATGGGTTCATACTGCCCACCTTCTGATTAGCAACCAAGCACTTAACCACTGCACTACCAGGACTCCTTGTCTATAATTTTATAAGCTGCCTTTTCTAGATTTAAGGAGAGAGAAAACCAAATCAAGAAAAACACTGTTTAAATGACTTGAGTAACTTGTTTCCTTGGACACTATTACCCTCATGTATAAAACCAAGAGATAGCTCTGTAAGACTATGATGAAAATCGACCCATCACTGTGCTACTGGATCCACACCACATGTATAACCAAACCAAAAACCCAAACCCATTGCCACTGAGTTGATTCCTACTCATAGTGACCCTATAGGACAGAGTACGATTGAAGTCGTCAGGGATTTCATTTTACTTGGATCCACAATCCAGGAAAGCAGCAGTCAAGAAATCAGGTGACATGTTGCACTGGGAAAATCAGCTGCGAAAGACCTCTTTAAAGTATTAAGGTCAAAGATGTCATTTTGAAGACTAAGGTGTGTCTGACCCATCCATGGTATTTGCAATAGCCTCATATGCATGTGTAAGCCAGACAATGCACAAGAAAGACCTAAGTTGATGCCTTTGAATGGTGATGTTGACAAAGAATACTGAAAATACCACGGACTACCAGAAGAATAAACAAATCTGTCTTGGAAAAAGTTCAGCTGAAATGCTCCTTAGAAGTGAGAATGGCCAGAGTTCATTGCAAGTACTTTGGTGATATTGTCAGAAGGGACCAGTCCCTGGAGAAAGATACAATTCTTGGGAAGGTAGAGGGTCAGCGAAAAAGGGAAAGCTCCTCAATAATATGGATTGACACAGTGGCTGCAATGATGGACTCAAGCCCAGCAAAGACTGTAAGGATGGCATATGACTGGGCAGGGTTTCATTCTGTTGTACACGGGGTTGCTATGAGTTGGAAACAACTCAGTGCCACCTAACAACAACAGGACAGAGTAGGACTGCTCCAAAGGGTTTCTAAGGCTGTGAATCTTTATGGAAGCAGACTATCTCATCTTTCTTCTGCAGAGTGGCTTGTGGGTTCAAGCCTCCAACCTTCTGATTAGTAGCCCACTGCTTTAAGCACTTCACCCCAGAGTTCCTTACATGGAAAGCAGGCTAGGGAAGATTTCCCCATTTTACAGATGAGGACACTGAGGCTTAGAGGAGTGCTGACTTCTCTCAAGTCACATGGGATTTTTGTTCTGTGCCATATGAGTTAATAATGATTGAAGTTGGGAGATGACACATGAAGGGTCATTATACTATTCTGGTTTATTTTACGTATAGGTTATGGATTACCTGAGCTATCTCATTATCCAGAGTAGTTTCCCAAGCCCTGCCCACCATTAAAACATCCAGCTCCAAGACTGTGGTCTCTTATGACAATTAAGAGTCCAGCTTCCTGGGAAAGAGCAAACTTTAGCTCCTGGGGAAGAAATGTTCAAAATGATGTTTTGATTACCTAGTGCCTCTCTAATAGAAACACCACAAATGGAATGTCTTTAAAAAACAGTTTATCCTCATAGTTTTGGAAGCTAGAAGTCTGAGTTCAAAGTGTCAGTCTCTAGGGGGTGAGTGAAAGCCCCTTGGCCTTGGGCTTCAGCTCTGCCTCTTGCTCCCAGCCCACTGGAGCTAGAGGTGTCTCTTCACTCAGGCAGCTACTGGCTGCTGAGACTAACAAGCTCAAGGTCAACATATAAAATAGCACAGTCCCAATATTACCACACAACGTGGCAGGCCACTGATTCAGGTCCATTAAAAGTCCCAGAATTGGCAGACAACATGGCAGGCTGCTGAATAACAGCTCGGCTACAAGCAGGATTCAAGCATGCCAAAAGCTAGAGACCTTCCTCAAAGTTACTTCTTATACACTGGAAGCAGATGACATCCCTAAAGCAGCTACTCAGCTGCTCCAGTAGGTTCTGCCGTGGAGTTAATTACCGATATCACCACGGAGAATAACTGTATCCAGCTGCCTAGTCACTCAACCAGGCCCAGCCAAGCTGACACAAAACCTTAACTACCACAATTAGCCTAGAGAATCTTACACCACAAAGCAAGAAATTCTATTCAAGACCATGAAGGTACGTCAAAAGGATTAAGGAGCCAACTTGAATAGGCTCCCATTGGCCAAAGATTAGGTAATGTGAGCATCAGTAATAACTTCATGGATTAAAACACATTGAGTTCATAGTGACATTAAAAAAAGAAACAAAACCTAAATAATCACCTTTGAAGAATGCCAGGAAGCCAACTCATTATTTTAAAAAGTAGTAACACATGGATGAACTTGGAGGGCATTATGCTGAGTGAAATAAGTCAATCACAGAACAACAAATATTGTTGAGTCCACTATTGTAAAAAGTCAAGGAAAGGTTTACATATGGAAGGAAACTTTCTTTGTTGGTTACCAGGTATGAAAGGGAATGGGAGGGAAAATTGCTAGATAGGTAAGAGACAGATATTGATTTGGGCAAAGAGAAAAGCAATATACCAAAAGCAAATGACCAACACAATAACACTAAGGAAAAGGAAGACACAGAGAGGTGCACAAAAGGTACAGAAACAAAGATAAAGACTTTTACATACACTGTGGGGATTGCAATCAAATGTCACACACACAAAAAAAGTATATGGACTGTTGAATGGAAAACCAATTTGCTCTGTAAACTTTCACCCAAATCATAATAAAAAGTAAAATAGAATAAAAAACAAACTGATAACAAAGGGACAGAAGCATTTGTCCTATATATCCTGTATAAGCTGCACCTAAGAGTAACCAAGGGAGCTCTGGTAGTGTAGTGCCTAAAGCACTTGACTGCTAACCAGAAGGCTGGCGGTTCAAACCCACCAGCCATTCCTTGGAAGGAAGATGGGGCAATCTACTTCCATAGTGATACTGCCTTGGAAACCCAAGGAGGGGTCGCTATGAGTCAGGTCCAACTTGATGGCACGTAACAACAACAAACAACAACAAGAGTAACCAAAGAGTAGATGAAGGAAAGTGTCATTTAATAGACCTTTTCCAGCTAATACATGAACAAGGAATGATGGGATCAAAAAGGAAAGGTTTATATATGGAGGGAAACTTTCTTTGTTGGTTTCCAGGGGTGAGAAGGGAGGGGAGGGAACACTGCAAAAAATTTTTAAAAAATGCACTGACCCATGTCACTTTAGTTTTGTGTATTTCACCATACATAAATTATATTTCAATAAAATGCATTTAAAAAATCAGTATTTTGTGATTCCTAATGAAATACTGCCACCATTCACCTGTCTGTTTGTCGTACTACGGTGGCTTGCACATTGCTGTGAGGCTGAAGGCTATGCCACTAGTAATTCAAATACCAGCAGGTCATCCACGGTGGACAGGTTTCAGCAGCACTTCCAGACTAAGACAAACTCGGAAGAAGGAAGGGATCATCCACTTCTCAAAGAATTGGCCAATGAAAACCTTATGAATAGCAGTGAAACACTGTCTGATATATTACTGGAAAATTAATGAAAAGCCCTGAAACACTGTTCTATATAGTGCCAGAAGATGAGCCCCACAGGTAGGAATGCACTCAAAATGCAACTAGGGAAGAGGTGCCTCCTCAAAGTAGAGTCAACCCTAATGACATGGATAGAGTAAAGCTTTCAGGACCTCCATTTGCTGATATGGCATGACTCAAAATGGGAAGAAACTGCTGCAAACATCTATTAATAATTGGAACATGGAATTACAAAGTACGAATCTAGGAAAACTGAAAGTTGTCAAAAATGAAATGGAACACATGAAGATCCATATCCTCGGCATTAGTGAGCTGAAAGGGACTAGTTTTGGCCATTTTGAATCAGATGATCATATGATCTACTGTGCTGGAAATGACAAATTGACGAAGAATGGTGTGGCATTCATCATCACAAAGAATGTTTCAAGATCTGTCCTGAAGTAAATGCT